TTGATCCCTTCATCCTGGCAAACTTTAAAGAAAGGATCTGAAGTGTACTCACCACCATTATCTGACCGAAGAGTCTTAACTCTCCTTCCCGTTTGAGTCTCCATCATTTTCTTCCATTTCAGAAAGATATCAAGGACCTCATCCTTGTGTTTCATCATGTACACCCATACACAAGGACCTCATCCTTGTGTTTCCATTTCTGCAGCTGTACTTGGCAAACCAAGAGAAGTTTCGCAAAGAGGCAGATAAATATTTTAAAACTTTTCGTGAAACTGAAACAGAACCCTCCACCTCATATGATGCCTCCCCCTCCCACATCTGCCAAAGATGGAAAGGATGCGAAGGATGAAAAGAATGGGAAAGATGCCAAGGATGTGAAAGGTGAGAAAGATGGAAAGAGTGAAAATGAAGGGAAAGATGCCAAGAATGGAAAACCTCCTACACCAACTGCTGCGACTGCAGCGGCAACTGCCGATGAAAACGAGCCTGCTTCACCTTCTAAAGACATTGCCAAGAGCAGTTCACTTGACTCATCAAAATTTGATGCTCTTGTTGCTGCGGTTGCTGAAGGTGAGCAAGCTGCTGAAATTGAACCAGCCACTGCTCGTGATGGCACCCGATAATTCTTTCTATCAATTCCTATGTGCCTTTTAAGCTCTCATTATGTTGAATGCGAACAAGCTCAGCTCTCTACAGATGTTATCGAGCTTGTGGCATGGACTGTGGAGAGTTTCTTCCTACCTATTGGATGTTTTAGGCTTCATATGCGAACTGAGGTCAAAATACTTCTTATTCTTAAAAATAAATAAATATAATTTCATCATTTTGATGCTGGAAGCGTAAGTAATTTTTAATATTTTTTTTATGAATGTCATTTTGAACTTCAAATTTTTAATCCCTCTAAACTTGATTTTTTATGGGCCAAGCATGCAAGCTCATGGACCATTATCTGCTTAAAACGGGCCTTGACTACAGCTTACAAATTTTCGTCTAAGAATATTCATTGTAAGATTAAGATGGTACTTGAATAAAATCCCATGGATCATTGTAAGATTAAAATGGGCCAAGTGAGACAACAACCTGCAAAGGAGGCTTCAGATATTTTAATTGGTCCCTCTACTGGTAAGAAATATTTAATTAGGTCCTTCTATTAAATACTGTTGCATTGTGTCCACCAAGCATTGAAATTCGTTGCAGAGGGAGTTTTAAATACCATCACCAAGCCGTGTTTTCAAAAAGTTAATTTGTTTTTGCTAAAATTAATTTATTTTTGTATGTTTTGGATTGTTTTGATATCTTATTTGAGAAATAATTTTTAAAAAATAAAAATTATTTTGATGTATTTTAGCATGACAAATATTTTAAAAAACAATCATAACTACACTTCAAAAAAATCCAAAGTTATTTTTTTAATGTTATTGGGATGATATAAACTGAAAATATAGTAGTTTTGAAGTTTTTTTTCAATGTTGTAGTTTTTAATTTTTTTAAATATATTAAAAAAATATTTTTTTAATTTTTAAAAATTTATTCCAACATATCAAAACAGTGTAAAAATATAAAAGAAATAATTTTAAAAAAGAAATTTTTAAATTTTTAAAAAACTTAGTTTGGAATCAATACCAAACAGCGCCCAGGGCTTAGGTGTTAGGTTTTTCCTCATACGAGCTATACCGTGTATTACCAAAACGACAGAGAGAGGTCTCAAAGAAGACCTGCGTCCTGCGCTCAAAACATACATGGTACGGAGTACTTGATGGCCTCAAAGACTTACACGTGAGCTTGGTGTCCTGACTAATACTTTTACTGATTACTAATACTATTATTACTTTATTAATTATTAAATAAACTAAAATATGTGGTGAATACTATATTGTTCACTATTTTTTCAATGGTTTGCTCTAAATTTAAAGAAAAAAAAAACTTTATTAAGTTTATGGTTCTAGTAAGGTAAATTTTACCATGAAGGGTATTATTCACTTTATTTTTTCTATTTAAGATTTGCTATAATTTTTTTAAAAATTATTAAACCTGGTTGATTTTATGGTTAAAATCCTAAATTATTTTAAGGGTTGAATAAAAAATTAAAAAAAAATATTAAACCAGTTCAAAGTCTGAGTCATATGTTTAATAAATTAAGTTACAACAACAAATATTATTTTTATTTTTTTATTGGTATTGTTTTTAAATAATTTTTAAATTTATATTTCAATTAATATCTTTCATTTGTATCTGTTTTTGCTGATCTAACATTTTTTGGATGAAGTTTGTTTTTTTTATGATGGTGTGTGTTTTTAATTTTTGATTTTTTAAAAAGGTTAAATATAAATTTAAAGAAAAAAATTTATTGAATCTATATCTCAGGCTCCACGCACACCCTCCATTAGTCTCATTCTCAAGTTAAACAAACCCTTGTGAAAATGATGACATATTTTCTTCTTTTCTGTTTACTCCTTTCCCACACAGAAGCAAAATCTATACCTCATCCTTCTCCCCATCATTTTCCGCTTGACTTATGGCCTAAGGACTCTCTCTTACCCAGACCTTGTCCTCCTCTACCTCCCGATCATTTTTGGCTTGTCCATACATGGCCTAAGGGCTTTTGCTCAAATTCCTCAGTACATTGTCCACAACGTAACCTCCAAGACGAGCTAACAATTCATGGCTGGTGGCCTGTCGACAGAAAAGATAGTACTTTGAATAACTATCGGCGAGTAAGGCCAATTAATTATCTGGTAACTCATTCTCATGTAATTTGTTATTTTTAATATATAGTTTTTGTCTTATGATTTGTGTGTTATAGTTTTATAATCTTCCAACACATCTTTGATTTCATTTTGTGCAGTTCACTGGAGAAGCTGGTGAAGAGCTTTACACTGAAATGAAAAATAATTGGCCCAACCTGACATCCCCCATTGAGTACCGTTACGGGCACATAGCTTTCTGGGAAAAGGAGTGGGCTCGTCATGGTATTTGTTCCTGCTTCGAACCCCGACTATACTTTGGAACAGCTTTGGCATTGAAAAGAAACATCAACATATCTCAAGCTTTAAGAGCTAATGGGATAAAACCTGGGATTGAATACCTAAGACGGCGTTTCGTGACAGCCTTAAGAAGAAAAATACCCCGTTTATCCTTTGCTATGAGGTGCGGCGACAAGAATGGAACCAAAATTCTCATCGAAATCAGGGTTTGCACCAATGAAACCGATGCAATTTCATGTTCTCGACGGTTGAATGACAACTGTGGGTCTTGTTACATCAAACTTGTATCCGAAATTGAACCATTTTAATATTTGTACTTGGACAGCCGCAGTTGTCAGAAAAAAGAGAGTACGAATTGGTGCACTGGTTTATATTATATTAGATATTGTGTTCGATCATTAAGCAAGGATTGTATCGCATTACTATAAAGAGCTTTCCTTTACCAATTTTCTTATATTTTAGTCTGTCTTCCATATATTAATTTACTGTAGGTAAAGTAAAGAAATGAAAGCTCCTTAATTAAACTTATCGATCAGGGCACCTGTCCTAAATCAGATTGTTTTTGCTACTCCTAATTTTTACTAAAAATTTTATACTTCTTCTTCTTCTTCTTCTTCTTACCAACCGAAGAAATGAAACAGAAGGAATGCCAGTCACTGCTTCGTGATGTATATAATTTTCAATTTATTTTATTAAATATATACATCAATATTATTATTAACATTTAATTTTTTTGAATGTCAAAAAGACATGTTGGAACCTCTGTAAATATATAAATAAACTGACATGCATGGCCTACATTCCCTGCGCTGATTACACCATAGGCCTGACATGGAACGACTAATCATTCTTTAAACCAGGATTGGACATGGATTTGCAACGCCACCACGCTTCAACGGTGACTAAAAAAAATCTCCAAGGATTCAGACTGTAAAAGCTATGATGATTTAGTAACCAATCTCTCTTGATTCGTTGCCAAGTCTATATAATCTAGCCAGTAGGTAATTAACAATAATTGAACTAAATACAAAACAATAAACTCTGATGAGTAATATTCATATAAAAAACCTAAATTGAACTAAATACAAAACAATAAACAAGGTCCCATAAGAAAAAATGATCCTCAAACTATTAACAAACACACTAAAAAAAACTCGGATGAGTAATATTCATATAAAAAACCTAATTTAGAGATCCTACCTTAAACTAGAAGAAGAAGAGATGGAAGGAAATAGCTGAATAGAAGCACAAGCATTCAACACATTTGAAGGAGAGATTATTGAAGGAAAAGAACAAGTAGCTGCGGTGAGGAAAAAGAAAAATATAAAAACATTTTAGAATTACTTATATTTAGCAAGTTATACTGGTTACGTTGGGTTAAACGGATTTTAAATATTTAAATTGATCTATGACATGTATTTACTAAATTATTTGACACACTATTATTTATAATATCTATATAATTAACTTTAATGAGTTGATAGAGTTGAATAATTTAAATTTTACAGGTACTCATTATTTTCTAACAGCCTTAGTATTTCTAGTACAAATTCATCAATAATCCAAAGGGCATAAAAACTTACACAAAAGCATAGCAAACATATTACACGCTCTCTCCTTTGGAGAGGGCTACATTGGTGATCACACTTCCACACTACAAAAGTAGGAAAAAATATATTAAAAGACACAAATAATACTTAAAAGAAAGAACGAATAAGCACTGGTGGATGCCATTAATTGTGCAATCCAACGGCTACTCTTCTAAAAAAAAAAAACCTAAAAAAAAAAACGCCAGTCAACGGCTACTTTTGCGTCAACTGAACAAGAGGAACTTTAGAAAAATGGGCTTGTTTCTCTCACGTGAATTCACACCAAGAAAAGCTTGAAGCTTTGCATTTTAATGGAAGAAATTGAGCCTAGAGGTGTAAGTAGCTTTTGGGATCCAATTTCTTGGAATCACATCTCTTGCAGACAGTGTTCTTCCTGTTGATAGTGTTGTTAACTTCACAGACAAGGGTCCATTCAAGGGTCCCCTAATAACACACCAATTTGCACCCCACAGGTGATTCATCTCCAGCCACTCAGTGCCACCTGCCTGCCAAAACAAATGTAAAAACAGTGAGAAAATCGTCGAATTTCTATTTTGCATATTGAGATCTATAGCTTTATTCCTTCACCATTTAGGTCACTTTTTCAGACACTAGAATCCAGTTTTGTCCATAGATTCTTTTTTCAGATACTTGAATTTCAATGCCTTCCCATGGTCATTTTAAGTGGCCCATATGTCACATGCAACGAGTCAAGAAAATAGTTGGATAGAAAAGATAAAAACAAAGCAGGAAACAAAGTGTGCTTTTGGGTCATTGAGCACAATGGCACCATTGGCAAGCATAAAATAAAGCAAATGTGTGTATATTTCTTTCTTTCATTAACTGTTAAGAAAGTGCAAAGTTTATTTAATAAAGATGTGTTGATGTTGGACAATGCCATTTGATTATTGGAAATCTCTTCCCCTCAGAAAATTAAAGGTCTAAGATCATGAAAAGGGCACTACTTTGATGTTCTAAAGTAGCACGTTTAGGCAGTTCTTTTTAGCTAAATGTGAGAGTGCACACTTTAGAAGATGTAAAGATGAGAGATTCTTTGCAGAGAGAGCTTGGTTCTCCTATGAGCAAGTATCAGAACATCACCGGTCAAAATTCCCAACAACTTTGCATCACAAAGTTGGAGGACATAACCAAGTTTTCCGGAGCCTAAGAGCACGGTGCTTTTTTTTATTCTGCTTTGCAGATTTACATCTGTACATGGGAGAATGAAGTCCAAAAAGTAATGCACAAAAATTGAAATTAAGGAACGAGAAGGTTACTTCTCTGATATGCATGGATCCAACATCACCATCGCCGTCTTCAAATTCCACTGGAAGGGATAGCCAGTAATCTGTTGAACCTTCATTGACATGGAAGGCAATGTTCTTCCCAGGGTACTTGCATGAGGTCCTACAAAAATGGGTGATTTAGGTCATTTCGAGATTATTAAGGGCAGTGGCAAAATAAACAAGACAAAACACACAGTTAAACAGTTGAACTTAAACTAGAAAGAGGGAACAGAAAGACCTGCTGCAAATAGCACACAGATAAAAACACGAGCCCTCCATACCTGCGATATATGACTGGGATTTCACCTCGGTTCCTGAGCTGACCATTCTCACCCGAAGTAGCCGTATAAAATCTAACTAGTCTCAAAGTGCAGGTAAATAAATTAATTGTAGAAATAAAAGGTATCAACACTTCTACATATTTTATTTGGAATAAACTATATTGTTTATTTATTTGATATAAATTAAGGTATTATTATATTTTTTAATAATTGATTTGTTTAAGGTTAAAGAAAAATCATTATCAATAAAGAGATCCTTATATATCTTATTAATTAGGTTAAAAACCTAATAATGATCTAATGTTAAAATACGAAAAGCAAAGAAAGTACTGTTTTTTATTTAATTTTAAAAATATATCTTATAAATGATCTTAAAATCCCATATATTAAACAAAATAAAATTTTTGGTTCTTCCGATCACAAGTTTATATTCCAAGATAATCGTCAGTTACTTCTTCATAAGTTCAACATCCAATCTGCTCAATACTGTTACTTACAGTTTTTCTTTAAGAAGAAAAAAGAACACAGTGCTTATACCTGGGATGGGGGTGCTACCAGATCTCCAGTTTCCCTCAAAAGATTTTGTAAGATTATCTAATTGCTTCAAGTACGACACTTGGAATAGGATTCTGAAGTCCAAGTAAGTTCTTAGTGAAAGCTGGGTGCTGTAAAAACAGAACACTACACAAAACATTAATCTAACCAATCTGTGTTACCGGAATCCTGTCTTTTAGCCAGGTTAATTTTCAAACCAGATTATCTGAATTACATTATAACAATGCCTGAATTACATTGTTTGATAAAGATTTAACAAATAAAATCAAGGAGTTTGTTTTTAAATAAAAATATTATTTTCATTATTTGACCTTGATTTTTAATTAATTTCTTTTCTTAGTTTGATCCCTTAATTTTTAGTTTATTGACAATTTTAATTCTTAATTTTTTTTATATTTACCTTTTATTATGTGGTGTTGGTCTCGTCACAAAGATCATAAATTTAAAAAATTAATTTTCATGGACTTCTGTATTTTTAGTATATATTTTTAAATTTTATTTTTTAATATTTAATTAATTATATATATTTTTTTTTTTTGCTGTTATTTTAATTTTATATTTTGAATTGTAGATTACTAGGTTCTTTAGAGTTTACTTGAATTTTTCGTGTTGTCATGGATATTGGTTTTCTACATTGTGGATGTTACCTTTAATAAAAAAATACAAAAATTATTCACATGAATTGTCACGTCATTTGAAAGGTACACATGATACATGACAAAGCAGTGCAATTGTGAAAACAAAATATTCCTAGATCATGGAAATTAGAAATAGAAAAAGAAAAAAGGACCATGTCAGCTCGCTTGCTGTCCTTTCAAAATTGATCATGAAATATCTCCTCGAGGCCCTGTATTTGAACATTGAATTATAAATGATGCATCCTCTGCTATTTCCACTAGGAAACAGATCTCTCAGTTGAAATTATTGGTTGTACTGTGGAAGCATTACTGACCCCGAAAAACATGCATGAAGACAATTAGATGATGTAAAAAATAAAGTCAATCGTCATCTCCACTCCTGGGACCCGAAATAGTGGAGATGACGATTGACTCGGACAATCAGATAAAAAATAAAGAAAGTTCGAGATAAATAGAAAAGTTACGTGGACAATCAAAGAAAATCTTTGAAATTTCAAAGAAGAAATAAAATGTTTTTGTTGGTGACACATTAGTATCATTTATTTCCAAATGCAAGAAAAACTTGAATAATGTATTTTAATGGTTGAAGTTTTAGATTTATTTTTTAAAAATTATTAATTTGAGTTTTATAAATCTTAAAGTTATTAAAAATTTATATAATCATTAATTTTAGAATTTATAAGATTAATTAAAATATTCACAAACTGATGTAATTACATTAATAAAAAAAAATTAATCACGAAATATCTGATGAGCAGCATAAAATTGTTTGAATAACGATGTATGCTATCTCCTCGAGGCCGTGTCAAAATGAACATTGAATTGTAAATTATTCATCCACTGCTGTTTCCAATAGAAAACAGTTCTCTCACTTGAAATTATTGGCTGGACTGTGGGAGGATTATTTAACCCGAGAAACATGCATGTAGACAATTAGATGATGTAAAACTGAACCGAAATAGTAGAGATAAAGTGTTTTTTTTATGAAGGTGTCACATTAAAAGGGTATCATTCAGTTTGGAAAGAAAAAAAAAACTTGCCCTGAGATACGATGATTCTTTTGAAATTATAAAAAGTATAGCGCTAGTTGCTTATTGATTGGAGCTATCTATATATTTGGATAAGATTCATGATAAGATTAATGTATTCCATGTATTCTTATTATAAAATGTAAAGATGAATCTCTCACAAGTGTCACTACCGGTTCCTATTAAAGTAACAAAGCATCTAATATTAGAGACAAAACTAGTCAAAATCGTGGATTGAGACAAAAAAAAAAAGTGCCTAGAAATAAAAGAGTTTTCTTGGAGAGTATTATGAAGGGACTCTTAAATAGAAGAAGAGATGTGGGAGAGGGAAACCAAAATTAAAGAGAAATATCCACATATATTCTCTAATGAAAGTACATAACTTAAATTTCAGGGAGAATATGTAAGCTCTGAGAATAAACTTTTACAAAAAAAAAAAAACCCTTAAATTAACCTCGTGATGAAGAATGTGTGAAGAATGTGAGGTTCAATATATGAAAAAACAAATAAATTTAGTTGTTAAGGGGGAGATTTTAAAAGATAAAAAGACGTACAACTCAAATTATAAAAAATAAAAATAAAATCTAAAGTATAATTAAAAAAATTAAGACTAGAAATACCCCTTTCTCTTCTCCAAGAGACCAGCAACATGGAGACAAATAGGAGGGGAAGGATTTCAGATTTTTCCACAAACAATTAAAAGAAAAACATCAAAAATTGTTAAGTTCATTATAGATTTACCCAATTCTTTGCCTATTCCAGTTTCAGTTCCAGTTGCTACTTCTAGTACAAATAACAACACTGAAAGTGAAGGTAATCCAACATCTAGATCTAATAAAAAAAAAATTTCAAATTTGAGATCTCTTTAAAAAACTAGATGGTAATGTTAAGGCTCTTAGGTATATATTATGGAAAATATTATGCATGTCATATTATATTTAATGGGACTAATAACATGTGGAGTCATCTAGGTGTATGCAAAAAATTTCTTTTTATAATTGACTAAAAACAAAAAAACTTTAATCTTAGAACCTAGACCTATAATAAAAAGGAGGTAATAATGGAGAGGAAAATTTAGTGACTATTAAGGCGGTGGGTTATAATTACGAAGAGTGTAGGAAAACCCTAGGAAAAATGATTATAATTGATGAGCTACCTTTTAACTTTGTTGAAAACCAAGGATTTAAATCATTTTATCAACCTAGATTTGATGTTCCTTCTCGTTTGATGATTTGAAGATATTGTTTGAAAATTTATGTAGTTAAGAAGGAAAAATTAAAGAAAGCTCCTCAGGATGAACTTATATGTTTAACAACTGATGCTTGGACATCAATTCAAAATATTAGTTATATGTGTTTGACTGCCTATTGGATTAATGAAGGTTGGAACTTAAAAAAAAAAATTCTAAACTTTTATCAAGTTTCTAATTATAAAGGTGAAACAATTGGTCAAGCAATTGAGAGTTGTTTGTTGGAATGTAGAATTGATAACATTTTAACTGTTATAACAGATAATGCAAATTTAAATAATTTGACAATAAAATATTTAAAAAGAGTAATTAGTAATTAAACAACTAATATATTATCAAATAATTTTATGTATGTTAGATGTTGTGCATATATTATTAATCTTATTATATATGTAGAATTGAAAGATATTGGTAATTCAGTTATTAAAACTATAAATACAATGAGATTTGTTAGATTTTCCCCCTCTAAATAGCTTATTTTTAACCAATATATGGGAAGGTCGAAAATAAAAAATAAAAAATCTGAACGAATAAGCACTGGTGGATGCCATTAATTGTGCAATCCAACGGCTACTCTCTTACATATATATAAAAAAAAGGCCAGTCAACAGCTACTTTTGCGTCAACTGAGCAAGAGGAACTTCAGAAAAATGGGCTTCTTTCTCTCACGTTGATTCACACCAAGAAAAGCTTGAAGCTTTGCATTTTAATGGAAGAAATTGAGCCTAGAGGTGTAAGTAGCTTTTGGGACCCAATTTCCTGGAATCACATCTCTTGCAGACAGTGCTCTTCCTGTTGATAGTGTTGTTAACTTCACTGATAATGGTCCTTTCAAGGGTCCCCTGATAACGCTCCAATTTGTACCGCACAGGTGATTCATCTCTAGCCACTCAGTGCCACCCGCCTGCCAGTACAAATGTAAAAACAGTGAGAAAATCGTCGAATTTCTATTTTGCATATTGAGATTTATAGCTTTATTCCTTCACCATTTAGATCACTTTTTCAGATACTTGAATCCAGTTTTGTCAGATTCTTTTTTTCAGATACTTGAATTTCATTGCCACCCAATGGTCATTTTAAGAGTGGCCCATTTGTCACATGCAATAAAATAGTTGGATAGAAAGGATAAAAACAAAGTGTGCTTTTGGGTCATTGAGCACAAAGGCACCGTTGGTAAGCATGACTGGAAAAATAAAGCAAATGTGTGTGTATTTCTGTCTTTCATTAACTACTTAAGAAAGTGCAAAGTTTAATAATAAAGATGTGTTGATCTTGGACGCCATTTGATTATTGGAAATCTCTTCCCCTCAGGAAATTAAAGGTCTAAGATCATGAAATGGGCATGCTTTGATGATCTAAAGTAGCACGTTTAGGCGGTTCTTTTTAGTTAAATGCGAGAGTGCACACTTTTGAAGATGTAAAGATGAGAGATTCTTTGCACTTTGTGAGTCAAGGAGTAAATGTAATCTCACTTTTGTTAGGTTAGTTGCCATTAATATGCAACAATCATTGACTATTGCAGCTGGAGTTATACCAACCATGTGCACCCATCCAAGATGTCAAAGGTTGGCAGCCACCATTGTTGAAGAAGAGCTGGAGTTGGCAGCCACCTTTGTTGAAGAAGAGCCTCCATGAATGCCTATAAATAGAGGCATGTGTTAGAGAGCAGAAAAGCCTCCATGAATGCCTATAAATAGAGGCATATGCAAGAGAGAAATGAGAGTGAAGAGAATTATGAAAATGTGAAGAGAGTAGAGAGGAAGAGAGAGCTGCATTGCAGCAGCTGCAAGTGCAGCAAAGAGAGTTGAGAGTTAAGTATGAGAGGGTGTAATCCTCCTCCTCCATGTATTTGTTTTGTATTCTTTCTCTATCTCTAAATATATTGACTTCTCCCGTGGATGTAGGCGGTTTCGCCGAACCACGTTAAATATTGTGTCAGTGTGCTTGGCTCTCCTATGAGCAAGTATTAGAACATCACCGGTCGAAATTCCCAACAATTGGTATCAGAGCGTTCGGTTTAAAGTGGTGTTTGATTTTGCTCAAAAATGAAAGTTGTCAAAATTGTGTTTTGACCATACCACTGTGTAGAGGAGGAAGAGACGAAGCCACTGGTGAAAACCGCGTCGAAATCGAATGTTGGAAACCGTCGCACGCGCCGGCGGGGTGACTGCCCACGTCATCAGCCACGTCAGCAGTTCTGCATAGTCATCAGACACATCACCTGACATATCAGCACTCTGACCAGTCAAACTGCCACGTCATTAGGCACGTCAGCAGTTCTGCACAGTCATCAGGCACATCACCTGGCACATCAGCACTTTGACTAGTCAAACTGCCACGTCAGATTTGGTTGACATATATGTCCTACGTGGATGACACGTCATTACAGCCACGTCAGCTCCCTGGATTTTGATCATGTGTGGCAGAGTCTACGTGCAACCGGTTCTGAGATTGAATCTGGGCCGTTTATCAGGCCAGCATTGTTTTGATCAAATCTTAGCCGTCTGAAGTGCGATTTGGATGATTTCAGACTTGTTTCCAGCTAATTTGATCATTCCGAATGCAATGGTATGGTCTGATCGTTGAGATTGAGATCATAAAAGGCAGTGATGAATTATTAAAGAGAGATTGCCTGATTAGGAGGCATCTGATGGTCATCATGGTGGTCGATGGAGCTGAAGAAGAATAAATCACACATGTTTGCCCAATTACATGTGTTGAACTATTATGTGGGGAATTTTAATTGCCTTGAGGGAAGTTAAAATTGGGACACTCTGGACACCCGATCATTTGGACAATTTGAGGTGGAGAGTGAAATTTGATGAAGACCAATCTTGACGAATCTGAGCACTAGTAGTCTCGCCAGATATTGAGAAATCAGGTATAAAACTAGGATACCCCAGATCACTTGTAAAGGAAAGCCGCCACAAAGCTAGCAAATGGTTGTATATACGAAAAGACAGTACGATGGATAGATATGGCCTAAGAAGTTCTGGCTAGGAGATTGGGTTTTAAGCGGGACCGTTGTGACCCCTCCAATCTTTCCTGGGAACTTGCTTAGTGGAAGGATTATCCATACGGTACTATTTTCGTATATGTGACAGTTTGTTATGAAACTGTTGAAGACTAGCAGGATGACGGCACAAAGGAACAGTTGGGTTCCGTATGATCAAGGATTTGATGGAGTGGTGATTTCTCCAAGGAAGTTAGATTCGGTGACTATAATTTCTCGAGGGGAGAATTGATGAAGACCCTGATAATGGAAGAGAAATACAGCAAAGGGATAAAGATTGGCACCCTATTTAAACTTGGATAGATGTTGTGACAGGATGAGCTGCTGTCAAACATAAGCAAGGAATAGGGAGAAATCTGGAGAACCAAAATTGCACGAGAGCACATGAAGATTGTGTAGGAGTACCCGGAGGATCCAACGAGGTACTATAATGAGACAACAGGTGCAAGGAGAAGAAGAGTTCCCAGATGAAGCTCAGAGCAGAGACTATGAAAAAGTTGTACAACAAAAAGTCTCTTGTGCTCTTGATAAAGGCAACAAGCGAGGACCTTTCAATGCATGCAAGGATGGAAGGATGAGCTGTTGCAGATGCACCTAATTGAGGGGGTGCAAACGCCTGTGATAAAAGGCGACCGCCTATGATGAAAGGCGAAGACACCAAAGGGAGTTGGTGCGGGTGGAGCTGTTAAGCAGAAAAGGCATAGAAGCTCCAAACATAGAAATTGAGGTGGAGGATTGCGAGGAGTATACCGCAACTTTCTCTTTCTATGTAATTAGTGGCAAAGAATTTATGGAGCCACTTTGAAGCATCTTAGCTAAAGGAGGATGCGACTGCCTATAAAGGCGAAGACACCTTAAAGAGAAGGTGTGAGGGCTATGAGATGAGCCCATGATCAGACCGCCGCATGACGACGAGCGGAGACACCTCAGGAGAAGGTGTGAGGGCCGTAGAAGGAGCCTAGTTCAGAACGCCCCAGAGCCAATGTGATGGCTAGATATGAGTGGACAAATGGATAGCCAATAAAAAGGCTATGATGAGTATGGAGACAAATGCAGGATTGACTTTCATGGATATTGCCCCCATGCTAAAGATCAATGAGCTAGAAGACATTTGCCTTGGACAATAAGTGGATGACTTGTGGAGCATTAAGACGCGGCTGCTATAAAGGAGTAGAGGGCATGCGCAGGTTCCGGGAACAAGTTGACTCTTGTCAAGGTGGTGAGCTCGGTAATGGCATTGTAATACTTAGAGTATAAAGACAGATATGGATCAACCTTTTATGGGCTGCCCCCATGGTTAAAGGTGGAAAGCTACCTAGACTCTTGAGACTAAGAGTGGGAAACTCATGGAGAAGTAAGGCGTGGTTCCTATGGTGGAACAGAGGGCAGACGCAACTCCTGGATGAGTAGACTCTTAGAAGAGTGGTGAGCTTGTGATCATATTGAGATACTCAGATAATAACTGTCGCACTTGAAATATCCGTTTGAGGGGGTGTTATCAGCCTTGATGTGAGGCTTGATGAATCATTCCGGACCGAGCATGGTTGATACGCTCGAAGGGGAATGTTGTTCCAGAGACAAGCGTTAACACTATTCAGATGTGATGTGGCAGACCATCTGGTTATAGTGATCCTTTTGTGTGAGAAAAGGTGTGCTTTTGTTACTCTGATGATTGAAAGGTTTGGCAAGTACCTATAAACTTGGCCAAAGATGCTCTCAGAATGGAAAGCTTGGAAGAGCTGCAAGATGCAAACTTGTGTTGAAGAAACAAGAGGACAATTGCCGCACATGAATGGCAAAGGGGGTGATTGTTAGGTTAGTTGCCATTAATGTGCAACAACCATTGACTATTGCAGCTGGAGTTATACCAACCATGTGCACCCATCCAAGATGTCAAAGGTTGGCAGCCACCATTGTTGAAGAAGAGCTGGAGTTGGCAGCCACCTTTGTTGAAGAAGAGCCTCCATGAATGCCTATAAATAGAGGCATGTGTTAGAGAGCAAAATGAGAGTGAAGAGAATTATGAAAATGTGAAGAGAGTAGAGAGGAAGAGAGAGCTGCATTGGCAAAATGAGAGTGAAGAGAATTATGAAAATGTGAAGAGAGTAGAGAGGAAGAGAGAGCTGCATTGGCAAAATGAGAGTGAAGAGAGTAGAGAGGAAGAGAGAGCTTGGTTCTCCTATGAGCAAGTATCAGAACATCACCGGTCAAAATTCCCAACAACTTTGCATCACAAAGTTGGAGGACATAACCAAGTTTTCCGGAGCCTAAGAGCACGGTGCTTTTTTTTATTCTGCTTTGCAGCTTTACATCTGTATCTGGGTGTTAGAAGTCCAAAAAGTAATGCACAAAAATTGAAATTAAGGAACGAGAAGGTTACTTCTCTGATATGCATGGATCCAACATCACCATCGCCGTCTTCAAATTCCACTGGAAGGGATAGCCAGTAATCTGTTGAACCTTCATTGACATGGAAGGCAATGTTCTTCCCAGGGTACTTGCATGAGGTCCTACAAAAATGGGTGATTTAGGTCATTTCGAGATTATTAAGGGCAGTGGCAAAATAAACAAGACAAAACACACAGTTAAACAGTTGAACTTAAACTAGAAAGAGGGAACAGAAAGACCTGCTGCAAATAGCACACAGATAAAAACACGAGCCCTCCATACCTGCGATATATGACTGGGATTTCACCTCGGTTCCTGAGCTGACCATTCTCACCAGAAGTAGCCATATGACCTCGGTTCCTGAGCTGACCATTCTCACCCGAAGTAGCCGTATAAAATCTAACTAGTCTCAAAGTGCAGGTAAATAAATTAATTGTAGAAATAAAAGGTATCAACACTTCTACATATTTTATTTGGAATAAACTATATTGTTTATTTATTTGATATAAATTAAGGTATTATTATATTTTTTAATAATTGATTTGTTTAAGGTTAAAGAAAAATCATTATCAATAAAGAGATCCTTATATATCTTATTAATTAGGTTAAAAACCTAATAATGATCTAATGTTAAAATACGAAAAGCAAAGAAAGTACTGTTTTTTATTTAATTTTAAAAATATATCTTATAAATGATCTTAAAATCCCATATATTAAACAAAATAAAATTTTTGGTTCTTCCGAT